AGGTGTACGTCCCTGCGCGATCCCACCAGAAACATGATCAAAACCATATTTTCCGGAAAACCCAGAAGAGGAAACTTATACCAATGTCGAAGACGTGAACGTCGTTGGTCTGGCACTCATCCCGGCCGCAGCCACCGAAAATGTAGATGAGATTCCTGACCGCATTGCAGGTGTGGCCCCATTTGCACCCCGGCAGCTGCTGCTGGAGCTGATCGCTGGATCGACGAGGCGCCCACTTCATCTTTACCCTAAAATACAAGTGTAGAAGAGATACTGCAGGGTTTATAGCGCTGCAAAATAGGAATCCCTCTCAATGCATTAAAAACGCAAAACTGAAGAACAAGGAAGTGAACCGTGGACGAAAATTTCTATTTTTTCTCTTGGTTCCAGCCTCGAGCACCTGGAACAAACCGGAACTTTAAGCCTCAAAAGAGAATAGGGAAGAAGCAAGAGAGTGAAATAGTATATGAATTTACTATGAATGAATGAAGCCAGTGCCACCCAAGAGAGAGAGAGAGAGAGAGATTGCAGCTCACAATCTGCTTGAACGCCCTAAAAGATTCACTTGATTTGGAGGGTCATTCAATTCAAAGTTGAAGCGTTGCCACCCCTTTGGCACTTGATCTATGCCCTCTATTTGAAGTTTTTGAATTTGAACCGTTGGATTATAAGTATATTCAGAAATAATATTCTAAAAATGGAATAAAAGATGCCGGATGCCATATGCCAATAGTACGTTTAAATAAGGGAGTACTAGCAAAAGTCCCAGCTACGCTGGGAGTATTGTGTTTATTTCTGATATTTTAATAATTTCAAAGAATTGTAAGCGTATTTGTAATTTTTAACATAATCATAATTATAAGATATATAGTTAAGCATAACATAATATTTTTATTAAAAATATCTTCTACAATTGACTCCATCACCAACAAACATCATAACATAATAAATATAACTCAGTACATTTAATTATATTTAAAATTCTGATTGTTGACTGAAGTCTTGAATATTCTATAAATGGAATTTCTCCCTGTGGGATCCCATGGCCAGATGAGTCATTTTTTATTAACTAATTTTTTCTTTTATTTGAAATCTCTATATAATTGATAAAAATCTTATTATTTGATGACTTATCAAACTATATAATTTCTCCTCTTAATAAAGTATGTGTTACTTAGGTACACTAAATTATAATGATGTTAAAAATATATTTAATATATATTTAAAAACTCACTTAAAGTGCATACATCTTTTAAATTTTAAAAATATAAACATTATTATGGAGTTTCTCTTTTCATCATTTCAGACTGAAAGTTTTGGAATTGCATAATAATAAGTGAAAGATGTTAGCTTTATGTGTTATATTTTCTTTTAAAAACTTTTAATATTTTACATATTTATCATTGATACTCCCTTTTTACCTAATATTTATATTCATGCATTTTGAGAGTAATATTTAAAATAGAAAGTATTCTTTTATATATCATAAACATTATTTCTGTATTTATTTTTATAAATCTGAAATAATATTATTATTTATTTATATTCATGCTTTTATATTTAAAATTAAGGCTTTATAACACTGTTATGAATGCTGAAACTTTATGATGATAAATGAATGGTAATTTTTTACTCTATACTGGGGTAGAGTAGGGTTTGATGATATATAATCTTTTCTTTATGCTAGAGCTATAATATATCAGAAAATTCATGAATGGTATATAGATAGGTTTAATATCATATAATTAAAATTCTGTATATGGTCCATGTACTAATGTTGTCTCAATCATATTTATACCTTATTATGTTTTTCATGTATAAATGCAATGTAGGATAAAGTGGTAGAAAATTTATGATATTATATAAATCTTAGACTACATCTTAGCCAACCATAAGTTTACTAATAAGAAAATATTTTACACAACAAATATCTAGAACTATTAACTCCTCTATTTTACGCTAGAAAATATCATATTTTTATAGAAATTACTTTTTTTATATTATAATTTAGATAATTTATTTTTTCTTTTATTATATTTAGTACTTTTTAAAATTTATTTAAAAATATTCTTTAAAATTACATTATATTTTTTTTAGAATTATTTTTTCCATATTTGTATTCGATATCCTCTCCCTTCATAATATTTACATTTATGCTTTTTAGAAGTACTATCTAAAGGTTAAGGTATTATATTTTATATCATTAAGATTCTTTGTGTATATGTTTTTATATAGAGAGAATGCTAAAATGAATTAAGATTATTACCTTTATGTTTAATTTATTTTTATATAAATTTACATTGAGGCTAAAAAATTTCAATGAAAGTTATGTTTTTATCCTGATATTATGGTATTGATGATTCATAATATTGTTTTTTTTCTAAAACCATAACATATCAGAAAATAAAAAATGGTCCATTGATTGCTTTATTAAAAATAAAATTTTAAGTGATGATGAATCACATTTTTTAAGATGGTAGCCTTTTGTATTGTGTCTAATATTGTCTCAATGATATTTTATGTATCTGTTTTCCATGTATCAATGCACAAATTATTAGTGTAAATAACAGACTTATTACACATTCATCAATGAATCTACTCATATTGAGTGGTCTATTAGCTTAGATATAGTCTCATATTTGTGCAATATCATAAAGTTAAAAATCATAAGATTATGATAAAAGTATAACTTATTTACAAGATATAATAGCTGGAGCTATTCAACTCTTCTATTTTAAGTTATAAAATATATCATTTCTATAGTCACTACTTTATTTACTTTTAACTTTAGAGTATATCTTTTATTGTGTGTACTATATACCATCTTTGTAAAAAAAATTATGTTTAATTTTAATAATGTAGCATTGAATTAATCAGATACTCTTTGTTCTATAAAGTTTTTATTCTATAGAAGAAAGAGTATATGATTGATTTGATAATACATGTTTAAACATATTGAACATATTTTTTGTTTTAAATATATCGTACATAGTGACATAATAAAAAAATTCATCAATGAATACCATCTTTGTACAACTAAATGTTTAAAATCATTTGAACCTAGTACATTATATTATGTTGGATCAGTTGTCTAATTGCCTTTTATATGTATTACAATATCACTTATGCCTCCTTGAAAATTTGTTAATTTTAACACTTCATTCTCTATTTCTTACAATATTGTGAATGCATTAGTATAGGGATTTATCTCTTTTAATAATTTATCAAGACCACCCATTAGTTGCTCATTGCATTTAGAATTGTGTTTGTTTTTTTTTTTTTTATCTCCGTTGCTTGAGCAGTATCTAAAATATTTCATTGTGAATAAGCTGCATATTTTTCATTATTTGGTTTGAAACTTCCAATATTTTATATATATATAAAATTAGAGCCACCTACTGCAATGATCAATGACGCTCTTTCATTTAAATATATTGGATGATTAGTGAAAGATCTCGATTCAATTTTGATCTTTATTTATATATCAATAAACGTTTTACAATTCTTTCTTTACATTTCAACTCCCTCGTTTTCCTTTTCGTTCCAACTTGTTTTCATTCTGCAGTTGTTCTCGGCAGCCACTGAAAATGTTTTCCAGCCATAGACATAAGAGATGTTGATGTCCGGAGAATACAAAAAAGAAAAACGCAAGCAAATGAAGTTAGTAATGGTGAAAAGGAAATAGGAACTTACTGCTGGCATTTTCTTTTAAGCCACTCAAACTTTCTTCATGCCCAAGTTGTTCTCAAGGCCGGGAGCACTCCTTTTCACACCACTCCTTCACAGCTTGTCGGTCTTAATGCTGCAATTTTTGACAAATCCATGGGTGTTGCAGAACCTGATCGAACCTGAACCTGATTGGTCCTTGCTTGTTTGCAGCGGAGGATCTCCTTTCTAAGATGTTGGCCGTGGATCCGAAACAGAGGTCGCCCCCTGTCACACGAGATCAAATGCTTCCATTGGCTGGTATCCTCCCTTTCCCAGCGTCTTGTATAAAATTGCTCCTAGCCCCCACATTTTGATGGCTGCCATGTAGAGCTCCAATCCTTGTTCTCCACCACCTCAGCTGCCATGTACTTCGCTGTTGTGATATCTCCTAAAGGTGCTGATCACCACTTGTCATGCATGTTTAGCTTGGAAAGAATGTTGTCGAGCTTGAGATTCTGGTGAACCACGCCCCTCAAATAAATCTCTTTGAAGGTCTTTACCAGCTGCTTGATGATTCTGGCTGCTTTCTCCTCACCAATCTTCTTGCAAATATGCTATATTTAAAAGACCAAATAATTATGGAATAACGCCTTAAGAAGGGAAGGCAAAATTTCCACCAACGAACACAACCACTGGAGGAAAAATGCCCGTGCCCTGTCCAAAAGGAGACTCGGACAACACCACAAAGTTGGCAAACTTTCCTGGCGTCAGCGACCCAACCAAATCCTCCAATGCAGCTGCATACACAGCCTAGGATGTGTACCTGTGAATCCAAAAAAAAAAACTGCATTTCAGTTTCTCATCTGTTATCTCTTACCCTGCCACTACGTCCCATGCAGAAATCCTTTCCTCGGGATGACTCCAGCCTGAAGTGTTCTCTCCACGGCTGTGCGGATTCCTCCAAGTGGCTTCACTGCTACCACCTTGAGACAAACCATTCATGTAACGCCGAAGAAAAAGTATTTGACAGGCTTACAGGCCAGTCAGATCCTAGAGCAACCACACTACCATTTCCGAGGAGGGAAATCATTGCACTTCACCAGTTTATACCCCTCTTTGTGGCAAGCCTGTAGCTTTTGCGTTATAGAAGTGTAAAGTAGGGACCATGTATTAGCACCCACTCTGCAAAAGAGAGTCGATTAGGAAGGATTCTAGTAGTGTATCACCTTTTCACGTCCGTGTTCACAGAAGATTATAAAGAAGGTAAACTAATAAAAAAAAGCACATTACTAAAAAACAATCTTTTGTATTGTGTAGACAAAGAAGAAACAACTGATAATCCAGAAGAACAAAAAAAAGGTGAGGCTGTGTAATAAAGACTTTGTGAAACTTTAATAATTATAGGAAGAGCAGGTATGGATATCCATGGTTTCTTTGAACTCCTCTTTGCTCGGTTGGCCTTTACTACGGCCTTTTGGACGTCCTGCGGTTTCCTCCTGTGATGTTTTCCTTCCTGGCATTAGAGAGTAACTGAGGATGTAAGATTGCACTGCCTGAGCAAAGCCAGGCTTGTACGAGAAGAGCAGCCCACGGAAGAGCTTCCCATCGATGGAGGCTTCTAGCGTGTATCCGTAGTTGAATACGTCGCGTACTCTAGCCTTGAACATCTTCTCGCCTAGCGGCTGAACGTGAGCTTGAAACTCTGTAGCATGAGTTTGACAGAGAAAATTTGGAGAGGTCCAAGGTTTTCTGCAGATACCTCCGTGAGATGAAACCAAGCTCTTGTCCGCATCCCGTTGCTTGTCTAGCACGAATGGCGTGGCACGATACTCTTGCCGCCTTCTCTTAAGTTCCTTACGCATGGATAGCTTTGGTTCTGATGGATCTTTCTCCCTCAGCATCTTTTCACAGAAAAACGGCAACCATATTGTCAGCAGCAACGTCAATAAAAGAAGAAGCCAACCTGTGTCGAGGAAATACATGTCATCCAGAGCTTCAAGCTCTTCGTTACATCCCCCATAGAAGAATAATATGCCTTGCTCTGCGTTCACCAGCTCTTGGCATCAGCTTGGCACCAGTCGTCTTTACCTCCCGCCATGCCATTGTTTCTGGAAACACAAATGAATTCGCAAGTTTAAAACCAGCACAATGTATGTACCTGTGTCCAGAATATGAATGTCGTATAGATAGGCATTACCACTGTTCTCGCCACCCATGACAATGCAACAGTTCTTATAGGAAGAGCAGGTATGGATATCCCGAGGAATAGGCGAGACTCCAGTGGTAGAAATCTTCTTCCAGACAAAAGTATCTACAGGAAAAAAAAGAGTTTAGAAGAAAACCAGGAAAGATAACAGGATATTACTCGTGTTCAAAACATGGAGGTCGTTGTAGTACTCCTCCTCTGAGGGATCGCTGGATTTCCCACATCCCCCAAACACGAACAGGTTGTCACCGATGAGAGATGCGCTATGTCCTTCTCTTGGAGCAGGAACATCACCAAAAACGTCGGGTTTCCCCCAGGTGTTGGTAGCTGCATCGGATGATAAGAACAAGAAAAAAAAATCGATTGAACTCGCTTACCAGTATCCAAAACAAAGAGATCGTCTAGCGGGCTGGTTCCATCGGTACCACCAAACACATAGAGCTTAGACCCGACAGCCGTGGAGCTGTGGCTGTCCCGAGGAGAAGGGTGCGTTCCTTTCATCACAGGCTTGCTCCAGATGTACGTCCCTTGCTCCAGATGTACGTCCCTGCACGATCCCACCAAAACATGATCAAAACCATATTTCCGGTTGAATAGCGAAGAGCAAGAGAGTGAAAAACCTTGATTCTAGTCGTGGTTCCAGCCTCGAGAACCTGGAACAAACAGGGACTTGAGAGACTTGAAAAAAGAATAGCGACGAGCAAGAGAGTGAAGAACCTTGATTCTAGTCGTCGATGACAACGTGAATCCCCTCGTTGTCCGAGACGTCGTCCCTGTCGTGCGCTCCATCAGAGCCTCTTCGCCTTTCACTCCCAATCCTCGTCGCATTTCCGAGCAGAGCACGTCGATCTACCGAATGCACCTGCGCAGGCGGATGCCGGCGGATTTGTTCCCCGCATAAGTCTGGAAGGCGTCGAGCCTGTTCTCGCTGATCATCCAGCACAACTATGGCGACACAGAGAAAGCCGTGAGCCTCTCAAACCTTTGCAAACAGAGAAACAAACACACACACAGAGAGAGAGAGAGAGTACCTTCCCACTACCAACGCTCTCTCCTCGTGCATCGCTTTCCGCCCCACCCTAAAAGGCATTTGAAATTTTTTATGATCCCAAAAGTCACGGCTCTCCATCATCATCATCATCATCATACTCCCTTATCATCATCATACTCATATATTTAAACGAAAGAGCCCGTATAATAATAGCATATACTGGCGACAGCATATGCTGAGATCTAACGGCCAAGATCTAATTGTCGAAGGTCATGTCGTTTCAAATCAGAGAAAAATTTTATGTGGCTTTTTAGGGCTGGAAAAAAATGCATTCAGCGACGGGAGAGGCAGCGGGCAGATGTACTCTCTCCTGGATTCTGTTCTTGCAGACTACTTATATTTTCCACTGGAGGTCAGAATTCAATGCCCGATTCTTCGCGGATTGGCATTTTCTCTTTGTTTTTCTCAATTTATATTTTTCTCTGCCTTCCACGGATTGGTAGGTAAATCTGGAATTATGAATGCTTCTTTTCTTAGCACCTCCAGCCAAGAGCAAGGAGAAGAAGAAGACGGTGCTGCATCCTCCGGTTATTATCCTCCAGTGATTCTCAAGGAGCCGCACCAAAACTCTGGAAGAGGTTAGCAGTAGAACTTCTCATCGATTAATGGGAGGCAACTCAATATACCTGACTATAAACCATGGAGGCACTCTTCTCGTAGCCCAGAAAAAATTCCAGAGAAGTGAAGAACCAATCTGGAACGACAACCAGCTCCAGCATCTGAGTCATCTCCTCTGGTTCCTCAGACGATGAGCTGCTCAAGGTCTTGTTGCTCATTCTCGTCAGGTAATGTGCAGGTGTGCTACAATCTTGAAAACTCATGTAGAAAAGGTTTTGTGGACAGTGAGGGTGTGAAGAGTCTTAATATTTCTGTGGAAGGTCTAAGTCAAGCTACTATACTATGTAGCACTAACTCTGTGACGAAGAGCGTGTCTATGAAACTAAAAATGGGTACGACTTCTTGTTTGGAGGTAAATCACTTTTTTTAATTAATCACGTATGTTACTAATCAAGTGGCATGGCAGGGTGCTGGAAAGACCTCCATATTATGCACTGTGGTGGCATAGCATGAACACTGATATCAACAATTTTTTTTCCAGACATCAAGTGTCATGAAAGCGTTTCATGCAGTGTAGGATACATAGATTCAGTAGGCGTTAACTTTCAGGTAAAAATTTCTTCCTTACTCTGCTTTGATTGGTTTACCAATTGGTTCTATATAGGACCTATCATATGAAGAAGAGCAGCTGAAGAATGGTTTGTTGAGAGCAGATCCATATAAAGCCTTGACTTGGTAATTATCGTGCACAATCTGGCTCACAAGAGTCCCAGGCTGCGACAACAGGCTGCCGATCACTCTCGACCAGCTCTTGGCACCCTCCTGGACGAGATCACTACTGCTGAGGTCCCTTTTGTTTTAGATCTTGCCATGAGTGCCGACTGGCATCAGCTTTCAAGCGTTACAGCCATGGACGTGTACAAGTCCACTCCCGACTTGACAAAGTCCCAGGAACTGCAGAGACTGGGACATCGTTGGAGGAAGGTCTCTTTTTTATATCGATTTTTTGTTTTCACCATTTTTGCAGAAAAAATTATTGGAGATGATCTGGATAAGGAGAAGTGGCAATTGATCGTTTGTAGTACCTCCAAGCATGACCTGAAAAGGGTGGTTAGTCTGAAGAGGTTAGAGTGAAATGTAACTTTGTTTTCCCAGCTAGCTTGGGCGGAGTATGGATTGATGAATTGGCTATCAGAAATATACAGAGCTATCCAAGGTTTACAGTTTGTCATGAAACTTGTTTTGCAAGTGCTGGCCCACGAGAATGGCTGGCAGCTCTTTATTCAGCGGGAGTTCCTTGTGCTGTTGCCTCCACAATGGATCAGATTAGCTGTTGGATGCACTCATCAGAATGGGTCTCGACAAGAGTGAGGCTGTTAGACACGTTGTGCATGGTTTTAATACAATAGTTGTTAACTCTAGGCAGTTGTCACAGAAGAGGATGGAATGGACTCCACCACGGATTGGGAGCTGGATCCTTTGTCCTGGAGACCAGAGTGGCCGCGAGCTAGATCCTTTGTCCCAGAGACTAGAGTGGCCACGAGATGGAATGGTTAAGGCTAGGGTTTATGCAGAATGTGGTGGTGGTAACACATCACAGCCGAGCACCCCTCTCTGTTCGATCACTGGTCCGCAAAGATCTTGAGGAGATCCTTCCAGCAAACGATCTTATCGATATCAATATCGAGGAGCCACTGAAAAATAATCTAGAGTAACTTCAGCCAAAGAGATTGATTGAGCTCTCCAGTTGCCAAAGACCCGACTACAATTGCTCTGGCAGCCTCTGCTCAAGATGTCCACTGGTGAATTCCAAATATCTTCACACCCAGCTCAACGAGCTAATCCAAGCGACGTGCTAAGTAGTGAGTGCCTCACTCTCATGCTTTCC